AAGCACAACCCAATCAACAAATGGGAAAATGAATTTCAAAAACTGTTAACATATCACTCTATGTCTGGTTCTGCTGAGACGTGAACAGTTTTGCCTTTACAAATAAGGATGAGGAAAGCGACATGAACAGTTTTGCCTTTACAAATAAGGATGAGGAAAGCTCGGTTTGTAAAAGTTACACAAAAACAAAAGAAAAAGGAACAAAGTTCAGCATATTTTGCAACACAAGCAAAACCCAACCTAAATTTGAGTTGAAAAATGTAACTAGTAAAGGACATTTCATCCTCTATTTAATCATGTCAGGAATTCTACGGCAAAACACACACACACACACACACACACACACACACAGAGTACTTGTATTTGATAAAGTTGTACTTGATAAATCTACATTTTTTTTTTTTTGGTCTTTTTTAAACAGGGTTTCCCTGTAGTCCCAGCTGACCTGGAACTCACTATGTAGACCAGACTGGCCTTGAACTCACAGAGATCCACCTGCCTCTGTCTCCCAAGTGCTGGGATTAAAGGTGTGCACCACCATGCCTTGCTATAAATCTAAATTCTTGAAAAGATGGGTACTGAACTCAGGTGATAAGGCTTGGCAGTATGTACCTTTAGCTGCTGAGCCATCAGGCAGACCTGATAAATCTAAATTAAAAAAAAAAAACAAAAAACCATTACCAGGGGTGGTGGTGCACACCTGTAAACCCAGTGCTCAGGAGGCGAGGCATGAGAATCATGAGTTCAGCCTGGTCAATTTCATGGGACCATGTCTCAAAAAACAGCCAGATGTGATGACTCATGCCTGTAATCCCAGGATTTGGGAGGCTGAGACAGAATTGCTGTGAGTTCCAGGCCATCCTGGGCTACAATGTAAGGCCCCTATCTCCATTGAACATCTACTATGGGCCAGATAATCAAACTAAGTACTTTTACACATAACTGTTACACACTTACCACCAGTGAAAGGACCTTCTCTGCTCTTAACAGCATCCCTGAATGCTACTGTATACAAACACATTAGGTAAGCTGTACTGTGAAGAGGGGGAAAGAAACTAACATACTAGGATAAAAATTATGCTCACCTGACCTGAAGGCAGAATTTAAAAATATATAAAGTGATCAGATGATTTGGAGAAAACACACATGAAACAACTAAGAAGCAAACAAGACAAAGGAAGCAAATGCTAACCACGGGGGTGTGGGAATAGAGATGGCACTGGAAGCCTTATTCCAGGGCTATTAGAGGTTTGGCATGGGGGCTGTTCTTCCTTCTAAACCATAAGCTCCTCAAAGGCAAGGATGGTGTTTCCTGTCACCTCCCTCTTAGCTCATCCTCTGGAAAATGTTTCCAAAGCATCCTTGTAGCTTTAACCCTTTATGTCTCAGGTATTGTAAGAGCTAGTCACAAGCACTACAAGATAGCTAACTGTAGAGAATAAAAAAGGGCTGGAGTGTGGTGCCTGAGCTGAACCCTGAATGGTGCATCTTTCTGAAGTACTGCAGGCTAGGCTGGTATTGTCAGATAAGGAACACCAAGTCAGAAAGCTCTGTAAGATCAGTAATCAGTCATTGCTGCTTCCAGCTGTGAAAAGCTCACTGAGGGTTAACGAACATTCCAAAAGCCAAGTCTAATTCAAACAGAGATTTATCTGATACTGAATTCCACATGGGGAGCACACAAGCAAAGCTACGGATGAAAGAACTAACCTTGTCTTAGGACACAACACGAATGCTGATCTACAGGGGAAGATTTGCATAGAGGAAGCAAGGCAGTTCAGGGTGAAGACAGACACAGGAGGATGAATGTTAGAATGAGGGCTTCATTTTTTATCTAATGAACAACAGGTACCAGGGTCCAATCTGGAAGTAGGGAGGAGTCACATTCCTAGAAGGCACATGGGTTCCACCTAAGTGCTGACATTTCGGAAATCAGTCCTACCTTTCAACTCCGCCTAACTCCAGCCTCATTTTCAGGAGCTGACTGAGCAGCTTCATCTGAAATCCCACAAGAACATTCCCTCTCTCTGAAATCCAGCTTAACTTCCTTCACAAGGCCACACCTTTTGTTTTCATCTCTCTGTATGGCAACAGTCTGGGAAACCAGAAATGGGAAAAATGAGGTTTCTCCAACACTCGATGGCTGTGTGTATGATCTTGGGAAATCAGTATTTCCCAGATAGTTTACTCATCTGTGATACCTGTTATCTACCCGCTTTATAAAGCTTTACACCGGACACTGAACTCTTCACATCCAACCTGTTACCCAGTATCTCTCAAATTTCACCCTTAGCATCACTGCCCAGCAGGTGTTTGGGTTCTTTCCTCCCTTCACTGGAGCCCTACAATGACTTCTTTACCCATGTCAGGATCTCAGGAACCTGCCTTAGAGATCACACTAAACTGGTGTGTGAGTGTGTAAGAAATGAATGAATGCATATATTCTACTGAGAAGTCAAGCTACCACCCACACACCCCAAAGTGAAATTCTGATACAAGAACAGCACTTGCTCCTATCCACCCCTGCAGCGCCCTACCTTTTCCCTAAAAAACAAAAAACAAACAGAAAAACAAAACCAAAAAAACCTCTCTTTGGGTAAGGAAAAATGCTCATTTTTGCTCCCCACAAAAATGGTGTTGAGCAGTAAGATAGGTTAAAACAGCTGCTCAAAATCTACACTTTACATTCTCACCAGATATTCTCAACAAGGAACTTAGCATTTACCTGTTTTTAAATCTTTATGGGTTCCCCATTACTTACTCTGAAATGAAAGGCCTTCCACAAGCCTGCCTAAGCTTCCTTTCTCCACATTCTTAACCTTTCTCAACAGGGTCTTGCTTGTAGCTCAGGATGGGACCAAACTTAGAATTTTCCTGCCTCTGCTTCCTGAGTGCTGGGGTTGTAGGAGTGTACCACCATGCCTGACTCAATATCATTTCCTTACTATGGATTCTTGCTTAGATGTACTTGTTCCTCACCTTTGTTTGGCGAAATTGTTTTCCTCCTCCAGATCTATCATACAAACCACTGTACACTGTATTTCCTATGTGGGTCTCAACAAGATGTCCCATCCACATGTTCTTTTCGCCACATGATCCTGATATCCCTCCCATCAAGGTATGGTCCAGGCTCCCACCCCTTAAAACCAGGTAGAACAGAGAGTCTGACAAAATTGATCCTACAGTTAGACCATGAGACTTAAATTTAGCCTTCTGCCCGATCCGCTTCATTTACTCTCTTAGCCTAGTTTCTCTGCTATGGGAAACTAAACAGCTAGGGAGAGGCCTCCTATAGGTGGAAAACCTCAGTGGATGTTCTAGTCACAATCTACCTTAATGATGTACCCAGCCAATTCTGCTACCATCTGACTACAACTGCAAAAGACTCCAAGCTGGAACTGCCCAGCTGAGCTCAATTAAATCTATAGTAAAAGATCATGAAAAGGCAGCTGTTTAAAGCTACTAAATTTAGGAATTATTCATTACTGCATAACAGTAGGAAATGGAACATCATCTTGGAGCTTTTTCTAATATTTGATCCTGGGAAGAATTAGTAATTCTTTGGGCTAGCTGAACTGCCTTGTTCTTACCACTAGCTCAAAAAAGCACTTTTCAAAACTGTTACGGACAATGAATGGTATCCTCTATCTTACCTCAAATTCTTATGTAGAAACCCCAGTCCCCAGTGTGACCGTATTTGGACTGAGGATCTTTCAGGAAGCAATTAAGGTTAAATAAGGCTACATCGGTGGCCATAATCCAACAGGAATGGTATCCATATAAGAGTAAAGACACCACTCTGGAGTACAGAGTAAAGGCCATGTGAAGACAGAAGGAGAAGCTGGCCAGCTGCAAGGCAAGGAGAAAGGCCTCTGCAGAAATCAGCCTCCCTGGAAACCAATCACTCTTTGAATCTTGATTTGAGACTATCACTCTGCAGAGCCATCAGAAAGTTTCTGTTGTTTTAAGCCACTAGTCTGCATTATTCTGTTCTAGCAGTCCCAAGATTAGTACAATAACAAAGCTGTTTCAAACATATGTGGTTTCCTTCATAGGTACATCCTCAGAGCCCAACACAGACCTGACATTTAAGAATCTGGCAAGTGGAAACTGGAGATGGGTCAGTGGTTAAGCACACTGGCTGCTCTTGCAAAGGACCTGGGCTCAGTTCCCAGCACTCATAGGGCAATGAACCACTATCCATAATTCCAGTTCCAGGGGATCTGACACCCTCTTCTGGCCTCTTCATGCACTGCAGGCACATGATGCACTTACATACATGCAGGTAAAACACTCAAACACATAAAAAGAAAATTAATTTTTAAAATTAAAATTGTTTTAGCCAGGCAGTGGTGGTGCATGCCTGTAGTCCCAGCACTTGGGAGGCAGAGGCAGGCGGATCTCTGTGAGTTCCAGGCCAGCTGGGGCTACAGGGAGACCCTGTTTCAAAAACGCCAAATAAATAAATAAAATTATTTTAAAGACTCTGTCAAAAGGGGGCTGGGGAGGTGGCTGAGCAGTTAAGAGCACTTGGCTGCTCTAGAGGACTGGAGTTTGATTTCTAGTGCCTATATTGGGCAGCTCATAACCACCTGCAATTTCAGCTCCAGGGGATCCAACACCCTCTTTGGGCCTCCAAAGGCATGTGCAGACACTCACACATAAGAGTCTGAACTTTTTTTTTTTTTTTTTTTTTTTTTTGTTTAAAAAAAAAAAAAAAAAAAAAAAAGAGGACGATAAATCTTTCACTGTGATATATCAAAATAA